GCCGAGCCAGATGAATTTTTAAAAGTTTTTGTACTATACTTTAAAAGTACTAAATAAAATTGATTTTCAATAAAACCACAGGGATATCAGAAAACATGACACTACTGGATTCACCCAGAGACTCTACTATTATAATTACTCTTCGGAAAGAATATGAGCATATGAGGAACAAAGAAAGAATTTTCAAAAAATTCTCAAAAAATATTCAATAAAATATGGCAATTCCAAGCAAGCACAGTTTCTAGTAACGCCACAACATCCATCTCAAGAACTAAATCTGAAGGGACCCAATGCCCATTTATGTTGCACTCCACAGTGTGGACAGTCCTTCCTCAGCCCAGAATTCTTTCTCCATACCCATCACACTCTCAATTTCTAGGCTGGGATCACTAGAAGCCCTAGCTTTGTGCATTCTCTTTGGTCTACACCCACAAGATGCCCAATTTCAACTAATTCTAATGTTTCATTTTTCTGTTCCTGCTGGCAAGATTACAATATGAATCTAAGTTCAAGACTACATGGTCAGGCTGGGCACAGTGGCTCGCACCAGTAATCTTAGCACTCTGGGAGGCTGAGGTGGGAGGACTGCTTGATCTCAGAAGTTCAAGATAAGTCTGAGCAAGAAATAGACTCCATTTCTTACTAAAAATCCAGGCATGGTGGCAGACACCTATAGCCCTAGCTACTCAGCAGGCAATGGTGAATTGGCTAATACCAGGGACCCTGGACTAAGTGGAGATGGACAGGCCAAGATATGAAACTTAGAATGGGCCACCCCTAAGAACAAATCTTTAGAGCTGGACAGAGACCAGGACACCAGGGAGCAATGGGCTGAGAGTAATCAACACAATGACCCTCCACCCCACATAAAAAGAGATTATTATGTAAAAAATATATTGAAGACTGTTACAAGAAAAAAACAAACCAGAAAGTGGGTAAGCATGTAGGCATCCAGTAGGCTATGAATAAAATATGAGGTGCATTAGGGAGAGATGGCAAATTAAGTTAAAACAATTAGGCTCTCCGTCGTCAGGAAGGCCTGGATAAGACTCCTTTAAATAATGGAAAACCCAGGAACATGTAAGTCCCTAATTGTGTTTGGCTATCTGTACTTCTTGCCATATGGTTAGAGAAAAAGAGGCCATAATAAAGATCTAGCCTGTTGCAGATACGTCTTTCTCTTCCTTAAAGAAACAGACAGAATTTGAAGCAAACACACATTATCGTCTAACCCTTTAACATCAGCACTAATTTTATCAGTTGTAAAGTCATGTGCTTTATAACACCAGCACTAATTTTATCAGTTGTAAAGTCACGGGCTTTAATTCTCAATTCATCATTATAAAAAAATCTTCAAGTCCTCCTTACCTGAATTTGTTTCTTTCTTCCCGTTCTATTCTCTGCAGCCTTTCTTCTCTCTCCTGCCGTCGCCTCTCTCTCTCTGCTGCTAGTGACTCTTGGTGTTGCCTAAAGGATGACGTGAGAAGACCACTGAGTGACGACCTGAAGATACAACGAGTTAGTGTTTCAGTTGCTTGGCCTGTGGTGGCAAGCCCTGGAGCAGGAATCAGACCTGGGGGAGAACTGAGGGTCAGGCAGTGCCTGGGAGGAAATGATGGAGCATCTCAGGTCTTCTTGTTTCAACATTTTTGTCTATAAATGGGGATAAGTAACCTGCTTCAAGATCTGGGAGGACAAAATGGTGGTAATATATATAAAATACAAAGTAAGCAGTCATCAATAATGGGCATCATTGTTATAATCAAAAAGGATTCCAGAAATATAAATAAAATATAAATACATTCTGTATCTATTTTAGGGTGATGTACATTAAGACTTTGATGAGCTGGAATCAGTTTTTAATCTACAACTATTTTCTATTACTAAGAATATTTGCTATATGCCTATTTTAACATGATTCCTCAGAATAATTATCTTAAAACAAGGTAATGAGAGATGAGGAGAACAAGACTAGCCATAGTCTGAAGTGTGAACAAAGTGAAGGAAATTTCATTCTAAGATAAGAAGTAGCTAAGGCCGTTTAAAGGACAGCTCTTGACTAACTGGTAATGCCACACAAGCCGTTTGGACTGTTCACTGACAGTGGCATAATGATGTTGAACAGGTAGGTGGAAGCCTCAGTGGGGAACCACAGAGATGGCTAGTACAGGAATGTTAGTTCAGAGAATACGTGAGAAAAGGGAAAACAGGTGCAAGGAGCCATCTTTGGTTATCAGGTGGCAGGAGAACGGAGGGAAGAAACCACCAGGATCCTTGATAACCACAGGGAGGCAGTAACCAATCCTAGGCTCATCTCCGAGCTACTGCAGCAGCCTGGACCCGTAGGCGTAGATAGAATGTATCTATCTTTCACATAAAAGGAGCCCAGACCACATTATGTAACTTGTCTTTTGTTAGCTACTGCTATTTTGTGACGTTTTCTTTTTCCTGTTCCGTGCCTCCAAATCTAATCCACAATCAGTGTTAAAGGGGGTTATTATATCTCTTGCACAGTAATTCATAAAAATTACTATGGATATAATGGATTTGTTTAACTTAATTTTAATCTAACAGATGAGCATATACTGTCCAATCTGGTGCCCCAAGTTAGAGAAAACACATTCTTCTCAAATACACAAGGACTATTCAAAACCTGACCATCATTTCTGGCACAAAGCTCAAGAATGAAGGCCAAGAATTGGTGTCATATGAAAGCTACCTTCCTGAGCATAGAGCAACTGATTTAAAAAGTAACAAAAAGATAAATTTGGGGGGAAAAATCCATAAAATTGGAAAAATTAAAACACTTCTAAATAACACAGGTCAAAAAGGAAAAATACAGAGTATGAGAACAGAAACTTATTTACTATTGGCAATTATGAACATACCGCAAAAACCTGGAATAAAGTCATGTTGCGTTTGTCCAGTGACTGCAAAGGTAGTTTGAGTTGAGAATATTAATGAATATAATGTACCACATTAATAGTTTATGGGGAAAAAAAAAACCATGACTACCTCTACAGATACAGAAAAGGCTTTATAGTCAACAATACTTTGTTATGAAAACTTTTAGTAAGCTTACAACTAGAAAATAAC